GTCCTAAACAGCCAAAAAGGCTTCCAGTATCACCCCAAGACGGTCCAAGAGACCCCCTGGAGAGCCTCTTGACGGCCTGGATGGCCCCAAGGCTGTCCAAAGATGCCCCAAATTTGCCAAGGGAGGCCACCAGGAGGGCCACGTAGCCCCCGTAAGCTCCCTAGAGGGCCCAAGCTCCCCAGCACGGCCCAAGATGGCCCCAGGACGGCTCGAGATGGCCCCTAGTTGTCCCACCTGGGCTCCAACACTAGGCCCGCACGGCGTGTTTCACCAAACTGACCCGAATCCCGCGTTCGCAAACACATTTCCCAGAAGGGGCCAAATTTCCAAGGCCACTATGGATGGCCCGAACGACAAACATATGCAAAACCTCAAGGACCAAGGTTCATGGCGCGAAGTGCCAATCCAGTCTTGTATGCATGTATGTATGCATGCATGTCTGTATGTGTATGTGTATGTGTATGTGATAAGATATACAGAGAGAGTAATCCCTGTAGACTCGGGGGCATATATATATATATGTATATATATGTGTGTGTAGATATACGTATATAAACAATACATAGAAGTGTATATACATATATATACACATACACACGACTGCATTGGCGCTTCGCGCCATGCGCCTTGTTCCGGACGCTTCCCCGGCAAAGCAAGCAATCATCGTTTGCTTCAGCACCGTTCCTCATGGGAGGAGGTAGGGAGAAAAGTTTCGTCTGGCTTTTCATCTGCCACCTCCAAACCAAGGTTTATCCCTACCCATCCCTTCCTCCTCCTTTCCTCCTCTTCCGCCTCCTTCGGTGGTTGAATCCATCATTTGAGCAAGTAAGGAGCGGTACCATGATACGCCGAAGAAGTCGCAGTAGCTCTGAACGAATCGATGTTTGGTCGCTTCTTGAATGCCCGGAGGGCTCCAGGCACTCAGGAAATCTTCGATCGTCGAACTTCGAATCTAGATTCATTGCCTGTCTCTCCCGATCGAGGAATTCAAATTTCGAGCCTCCAGCGTGGAACCAAGATCGTCGGGTCAGCTCGATGTACTTCGTAGGAGAACGCCGTCTGGGCTTTTTGGCTCTTTTGGGCCGTCCTGGGGCTTTCTTGGGCCGTCTTGGGGAGCTGTGGCCCTCCAGAGGTCTTCTGAAGCTATCTAGGGCCCTCTTGGGGGCCTCCAGAGGCCTTCTTGGGAGTCCCCCATGGCTTTCGTGGGTCTCTCTTGGGAGCCTTCTGGGGGCATCTTGGGCTTCTTGTGGGCAGTCTCGGGGCTCTCTCGGGCAGTCTTGGGGCCTTCTTAGGCCGTCTTCGAACCCTCTGGGGGGCCTCTTGGGCCGTCTTGGGGCGATATCGGGGGCCCGTCGGGCCGTCTTGAAAGCTACGAAGATTCAAAAGCGGATCTGCTAAAATTTTACATTTTCTAAAGGGAATAGGGCGATTTGTGCTTCTTCGGGGCTCTCTTGACGGCCTCTTGGTGCGTCTTGGGGGCCTCTTGGGCCATCTTCGGGCCATCGGGGTTCCTCTTGGAGCGCTCTTGTGTTATCTCAAATGATTCTTGCGCCTCTCCGATGACACCTCTGATCGCCTTGAGTCTGCTCGCAAGGCCCGGCCTGGCGCCCGGAAGGGCCAGCGGACCCTTTCCAACGGCGTCCAGGGGGCCGCCGAGACGTCCGAGGGCGTCCGGGGCGTCCGTGGGGGAGTGTCCGGTTTATGGGGAGGGTCTGGGTAATTGAAGTACAAGAATAGGATGATATGTGTATACATACACATACACATATGTACGTACCTAGACGCACTTGTGTTCCCTCTCTCTCTCTCTCTCTCTTTCTATATATATATATAGCTCTCTCTCTCTCTACTCCTCCTCTCTCATTATTTCGTTACCATCGTTGTTTGGTTATTTCTCTTTTTTCCAATCTCTCTCTCTCTTTTTTTTTTTTTCTCTCTCTCTCTCTCTCCTTCTCTCTGTACATATCGGAGGTTGGGGTGACATCGCAGTGGCATGGAGACCCCCCCACTGGGATATTGGTTTAGGATTCACGTTCGTGTCGCGCGTGCGGGCGAGGCGAAGCTGCGCGGGTGGGCGAGAGGAATGAACTCGTCGTTGCCAGGGCGAAGCCGAATCAAACGTTGCGGTCCACCGTGTTGGCCAGCAGTAGCCCTGTGGTGTCCCGCTTGTGTTCGGAAAGTGTCCCGATGGTGTCCCGTGGTGTCCGCGGGTGTCCCGTGCTATGATATTTGCGACGCAACGTCATGCTAGCGATAGTGAAATGTGCGGTCGATACTGGGATCTATTGAATGAAATCGAAAGTGAAATCGATTGTGAGGACGATCGTGAAATCGATAGTGAGATTGGTAGTGAAGTCGATTGAATGAGATCGATCGTGAGATCGATACCAGGATCGATAGTGAGATCGATAGTGAGATGGATAGTGGTATCAATTGAGTGGGATCGATGGTGAGATCGATCGATAGATCGATCGTGTGTTCGATAGTGATATCGATGATGATATCGATTGAATGAGATCGATCGTGAGGACGATAGGAAGATTAATTGTGATATCGATAGTGGCATCGATGATGACATCGGTAGTGAGACCGATAGTGAGAGCGATCGTGAAATCGATCGTGCGATCGCTCGTGAGATCGATCGTGAGATCGATGGTGAGATCGATGCTGCTATGAATAGTGTGATCGGCAGTAAGATCGATAGTGGGATCGATAGTGATATCGAGAGTGAGGTCGGTAGTGAGATCGACTATGATATCGGTTGGATGAGATGGATGGTGAGATCGATAATGACATCGATAGTGAGATCGACCGGGAACCCGGGACCCAAACATAGAAACCTTGGGAACCCCGCCCCCCCGCCGCCCACCGAACCCCGCCGCCCACCGAACCCCGCCGCCCACCGAAATCGGCCCCGAACCAGAAACCGGGAACTGGGGAACTCGGAACCAGGAACCCGGGAACCCGGCCAACCGCCGACTTTCGCCGAATCTTCCAATATCCGCTAGGACTCCTTTAGTGAAAGTGCTGATTGGGGAATAAACTTTGGGCGCTCCGCGCGGACCTCTTGGATCTGCGCTGGGCCCGCCCCGGCGGCGCCTCCGGCGCCGCCCCTGGCGCGCTCTGCGCGCCAGGGAGGAGGGTTCAGCGCAGATCCAAGAGATCCGCGCGGAGCGTCGTAAGTTTATACTTATGCCGTTGTCTCGTCCTCTGAGGGAGTCCTGTTTTTCGAATACGAGACCCACAGACGTCCCGGCCCTTTCTCGTCGGCGTGTCTCACAGCTCTCATCCTTATTTGACGCCCCCAGGGCCTGGTCAGGGCCCCCGCAGGCCGACTACGGGTAGGACAAATCCGCTATGATGTTTCATGACGCGAGGGGTGTTGGCAGTTGAAGTTCTAGCTCTTCGTCGTGCAGCAGAAGTGGTGCGCATCTACATATTTTCAGAGGTCCGCGTGGGTCTCTCGGGTCGGCGCTAGACCACCTCGCCTGGCGCGCGAAGCGCGCAAGGAGCGGCGCTGGAGGCGCCGCCATAGAGGTCAGCGCTGTCCCGCTATATCTTCGCAGACCTCCAACAGTCGATGTGTCTGCAACTTCTTTGATTTCTAGCTCTGCCACGAGCTGACCCCCCCGCACTGACTGCGAAGAATACGTGAACCTGCCTCCGTCACCTCCCGAAGCGCTTCACGTTCTGAGGGTTTTCGCCGTGTGTTGTGATTCGCTGTGCCTGTGTCCCAGCGTGGCTTGTCCGCAACTCGGATCCGAGACGCCGCCGACCACCACGAGCGGCAAGAAGACGTACTCGAAGAAGAAAAAGCCTCATGAACAGAAGCTTTCGACGGTCCCCGCGGATTTCTTGCATCTGCGCTGGACCCCTCTTCCCTGGCTCTCCCCAATCCCTGTCCGCTGACGTCGACGCTTCTTCCTGTGCCGATCGGCATCAGCGTCTTCCCTGGCTGCCCCCGCCGCGGCTCCTCCTCCTCATCCTCTTCCTTTCCGTGTTTCCTCCTACTCTACCTCCTGCTCCTGCTCCTCCTCCTCCTTCCTCCATCCCTCCCCCTAGTCCTCCTCCTCCTCCTCTTCCTCCTCCGTTCCTTGTCCTTATAGATAGCTCCTTCCTGTCGCACCCCGAGGGTGGTCGAAAAGGCGGGCCGGGCGTTTCGCTTAAGATTGCCCCACAATGCATGATCCTGAAGTCGCACATGTACAACAGTTTCACTGATGGAGGGCGGCCCGCTTTCAAAATGTGGTTCTCGCCATAGCGCCGAGCACATTCGTTTTGTAAAGTTTGCAAGAGTTTCACGGATGGAGAGCGGTCCGTTTTCAACACGTGGTTTTCGTTGTAGATCGCTGTAGCGCCGCGCACACTCGTTTTGATAGTTTGCAAGCATTTCGCGGGTGGAAGGCGATTCCTTTTCAAACTGTGGCTCTCGTTTAGCGCCGCGTACATTCGTCTTGGGAGTTTGCAGCAGCTTCCAGGATGGAGGGCGGTTCCTTTTCAAAATGTGCTCTTGCCTTCGCGCCGCGCACATTCGTCTTCACATTCTGCGGAGGTTCAAGAGTTCTCATGGGCAACGTCCCAGGAATGGTGTGTTGGCACGATGTCGGAGTGTCAGGGCGCAACAGTCACGTTGATTCGCGGTGTTGTAGTCCCGGGAACGGTGTATCAATGTAGGAGCTTATGAAAAGGGAACTTGGAGGGAGGGCTTCTTGCAATACCGTTGATGAGTCTTGTGCTTACACTGGTCCTCCTCCTCCTCCTCCTCCTCCTCCTCCTCCTCCTCCTCCTCCTCCTCCTCATACCTCTTCCTTCTCATACCCCTTCCTCCCTCCTCATCCTCCTCCTCCTCCACTCCTTTCCTCCTTCTCCTCCTCCTCCTTTCCTCCTCCTCCTCCTCCTCCTCCTCCTCCTCCTCCTTTCCTCCTCCTCCTCCTCCTCCTCCTCCTCCTCCGCCTCCTTCGCCTTCCTCCTTCGGCGCCGGGCGCGCCGCCGATCACCAGGAGAACCGGGGGAGGCCGTACGCGGCCGAGTGGGAGATGTGCGAGCCCCCGAAGTTCAGCGACAGCAGCGCGAGCCGCAGCCGCGGGCGCGGCGGCGGACGCAGGCCAGAGGGAGGGGGGGAGGGAGGGAGGGAGGAGGAGGAGGAGGAGGAGGAAGTAGGAGGAGGAGGAGGAGGAAGTGGGAGGAGGAGGAGGAGGAGGAGGAGGAGGGGAGGAGGAGGAGGAAACCGCCTCCAAGCTGGAATTTCGGCACCACCATGTCGGCTCGATCCTTGCTCAACTTGGGAAAGGCTCCAGGGGTACATGAGCGTGCTAATGCAAGTCCTCCGCCAGGACATCTTGAAACGACATTGTCGTCTGTGGCATTTAGTTTTGACTTTCGCTGACGGGGCGGAGCACAAAGTGGAACAGCTGCTATCTTTAACGTGCCTGCTCCAAAGAGCGACTGAGTGGAGCGGGGAGGTGGAGGTGCGTCTTTTTACTGCTCACGTGCCTTCGGCATTTGACAGCTTGACCGTCCAGGCTGTGGAGGAGAGCTTCGGGTTTTGGGGCGTGCACCCAGCAATTGGCGCAGCGGTACTCCAGGAGCTTTTGGCGATGGAGGCTTGGCCCATTTTCGATGGAAAGCGTGCTGGATCTTCGTTCTGTTATAACAAGTCCATGAAGCAGGGTGGGTCTGACGCACCGTTTCTGTGCAATTGCGTCATTCGGAACAGATTAAGCCCATTGGTGCAATCTTGGGAGAGTCGAGGGCTTGGCGTTTCCTTAGGAAGCTGCTCTTATATCACGCACGCCATCTGTTCGGACACCTTGTACATTTTTGGCACAATAATTGCTGAAACGCACCTAATGTCACAGGAGTGCACGCGTGCCTTGAACGGAAGCGGCCTGCGCTGGACGCCAAGCAGGCAGCAACGGGCCAGTCGGTGCATTCGCTTTTTCTATCTTCCAGGACGGCGTCGAGATTGCGGTGCTGGTTGTCGACCGTATCGGCATGCTCGGTGGAAAGGTGTGCAGGGATGGGACGACAGACATGATGGTCCAAAACCGACTCCGCAAAGCGACGGGCCCCGTCGCTTTGCGGAGTCGGTTTGGCCCAATCTGATTTTTGTTGAACCCTAGTTGACTCCAAGATTGTGTCAATATGGTTCGAATCTGACTCCGATGCGTTTCTTCCTTCTCCCCTTGCTCTTGGCTTGGGCCAGTGGGACGGATGGGGGTGCTGTCCCTCCACCCCCTCGTCGTCGACTTCTTCCTCCTCCCCCTCGTCCTCGTCGCCCTCGTCGTCGTCGTCGTCGTCGTCGTCGTCGCTGTCCGCCTGGCCCCGTTGGCCCCATACATAGCAGAAAACCGAATCCCGAACACAACCGAACCCATCCATTCTCTGATGGGGATGACGGCATACGTACACAAGGTCAGTGGGTTGCACTGTTCACTGCAGGCTGCTGGACATGCACCAAGAGCATGCTCCTCCAGACGAAATCATGGGATAATATGTTTATATGAAGGATATTGTGTCGAGGGCGGAGGCCAGGCGAGACGTTTGTAGCGCACCAGCGGCGTTCCACCCGCATCGCCCAGCAAGCCTTGCTGAACACCTCGCCAGACACGTTACCAACAGCGGTGTTGCCGAGCCAGTGGCGCATGGTTGGGGAGATGCAGCATCACCAGTCGTTCAAACTGACACTTCGGCTGCTGCCCCAGATACTACAATGGAGGAGCACAGTCCGGTGGCAGGGGTGTCAGGCGGTGAACCTGAGAGGCCCGACACGCATGCAGCAGACTGCAGTGTGCCACGCCCGGTTAGGGTACCCATCGGCTCGATGGGGAAATGAATGTGTGAAGCATGTGGGAGTGGACTGGTGGATGGAGGCCGGCGAGCCGACGTGGCCAGGCGATTACGACGCATGCAGGAACTCCGTATACCAGAGCTACAACATGCATGTGCCAGAGAGCTACAAGCGCCTCTCACCAGAAGCCGACCCACCGACCAAGTGCAAGAGGGTCGCCACCTTGCCAGATATACCGGCCGAGATGGTGACTGCTCTACGCAGTGATGCAGGAGGACCCCAGACCATTTTCATAGGCGATTCCATGCTCGTCTGAAATTACATCAGTAGCTTATGGGATACAGCATGCGTGCAGTATCTGGAGCTGATGAAGATTTTGCAGGGCACTTACCATACATTGATTTCTCTAGATGTGTGCCTTTCGACATCTCTTGTTCATAACCTCAGTCCGCGTGTTTACCTTTACCGCGAGCATCAACCGGCGGCGGACAAAGCAGCGAATCGCCATGAGCATTTCTTCAGGCTGCACGGGGCGATCCAGGGACGTTCCCAGGGTGCACCTGCGCAGGTATAGTATTGTACGGCACGCGCACGGGAGAGACGGCATACGATCTCATGTGCGAGGCGACGCTGCCCTTGTCGTTGGCGAGTGCTTGCCAGGCAGAGTTAGCAACGCTGGTTGTTGGAGTACTCCTAATTAAGCACCTGCTGACCCCAGTGACCCACTATGATGGCATCTGTAATGCGGTCCAGTCTTCCGTGGGGGCAGGTCTCCACAACTTGCAAATGGTGGCCGAGTAGCCGTTGCCAAGCGGGAAGGCGTGACGCGGATGTGCCGGGAGAAAGAGAGAGAGAGAGAGAGAGAGAGAGAGAGAGAGAGAAATAGGAAACACATAAACAAGAAAGAGAGATGGAGAGACAGATAATGCAGGGGCGCGAAAAGGAAACATGAAAGGAGGAGGAGGGTGAGGAGGAGGATCGCGGAGGAGGAGGAGGAGGAGGAGCAGGAGGAGGAGGAAGAGGAGGATGAGGAGGATCGAGGAGGATCGAGGAGGATCGAGGAGGAGGAGGAGGAGGAGAAGCAGGAGGAGGAGGCGGAGGAGGAGGGGGAGGAGGAGGAGAGGGAGCAGGAGGGGAGGAGGAGGAGGGGACTTCGGAGGGCAGGTCGCCCAGCCGCAGGAGGAGGTCGCCCAGCCGCAGAGGGCGCTCGGCTGGCCGTCGGCGCTCGCCGTCCCCCGCGGGTCGCCGCGCTTCGCCGAGCCCGCAGAGGAGACGATCCCTGATCCCTTTCCTCCTCTATCATCGATCATCGATCCTCATCTTCTTCCTCCTCCTCCTCCTCCTCCCCTCCTCCTCCTCTTCCTATTCCACTTCCTCTTTCTTCTCCCGCCCTCCTTCCTCCTCCTCCTCCTCCTCCTCGCTCGCTCCTCCCCCTCCTCCCTCCCTCATCCCCCTCCTCCTCCTCTCTTCTCCTCCTCCTCCTCCTCCTCCTGCTGCTCCTCCTTCTCCTCCCCCTCTCCTCCTCCTCCTCCTCCTCCTCCTCCTCCTCCTCCTCCTCCTCCTCCTCCTCCTCCTCCTCCTCTTCTCCCTCCTCCAAGTCGCTGTTGGATTGCCCCAGGGCCTGGGAAGGGCCCACAGCCGCCGAAACTGTAGGAGGCACACGTTTCATGTGTGTTCACCACTGGGAGGTCTGCCAGGAACCTGTTCTTCCATGTCCGAGCCACAAATTTGCACCCCGGATCTGTCCTGGGGAGCGTTCTGGCCAGAAGTTCGAGCAGGGAATCCCACCTTGGCGACGGAACGCCTCCAGGAGGCCCCAAGAGCGCCGAAAACGATCGAGCACCTCTATCCTCGAGCGAAGGAGCGAACGAAACTCTCGATCGAGCGAACGAACGAGCGAGCGAACGAACGGCCGAACGAACGAACGCACAAACACCTCGGTCCTCGAACGAACACGGACGAGAAAGCCTCGCTGTGAGGTTTGCAGATGCCCTGACCCTTTCCGTGGGGCCGGCTTCTCATCCCGAGTCGTTCTTCAGATGTGCCCGGGCCCAGAAGCGGCGCCCGGGCGCCGACCGCTGCGAGCAGCCGCCGTCTTGGCTTCTCCAAGTCGTCAGATGTCTGGCCATCCTGGCACGTCCTCCCCAGGAGGAGGCGGTGCCCCCCCCGTGACTGGTCCGCCCATTCTGCTCTGCAGATCGGTCGTGGCGTGCCTCGCGGCCCGTTGTCGGGAGTAGCCCTCTCGAAGGGCAGCGAACTTCATCGCCTCGGTTGCTGCTTCTTCTCTGGCGAACGCTCCTAGGAGCCGCCTCGGCACCAAAACGCTGCCAGGGGATACAGTCAACCATGATAGTAAGGATGGGGCAACTTGGCAAGGGTACCCTTGCATCCTTGCCCCTTCGGCGCATCCTTGCCAACTTTCGCTGGCCAACGTTCGGCAAGCATGGCGGCACGTCAGGGTACCCTTGCATCTTTCGGAATTCGGCCGCGCTCCGCGCGGAAAGCCTCAACATGGCATTCCAAGGCCCTTGCTTTCTTACCGCGCATCCGTATTATCCTGGTTGAGCCAACCAGGATAATAAGGAGAGGACAGAGTACAGTCAACCAGGTCGACTGTACTCTCCTCTGGCTATATCTTCTCTCTGACCTTCTCTTCCGGATCCTCCTCATTCCCCATAACCCGCCCCTCTCGCTTGCTGGCCAGCGTCGCCCCCCCCATCCCTCCCGGGAGGAGCTGGCGACCCCCCCCCCGAAAAAGTGGTGGCCCGGTGGAGGGAAGCCAAAGAGAAGCAGCACCTCCCCCCCTTACCCCCCAACTCAAAGCTGGCTGGCATCGCTCGGACGTGTGGCCTTTTTTCTAGGCGGGAACTCAGTATCCTTTATCCGATCCCCATCTCCATCCCCATCCCCTTCGAGACCCCCACCAAATTACCGCCCCAGTTGGGGATACACCCCTCGAAACCCGAAGGGAACGACCTATATCCCCATCTAGGGGGTAAATCGGCCAGTGGGGCCTAGGCCACGCCGCTGGGGATGGGGATCAGATAAACGATACTCAGAGTAGCAGCACTTCCCCCCCCCCCCGCAACTCAAAGCTGGCATCGCTCGGACGTGTGCTTTTTTTTTTCTGGGCGAGGACCATCGAGGAGCATATTGGATTAAGTCGGGCCTGTCCCTCTACAGGGGGAATATTCAAAAATAGCCCTAAAATAGTCGGGGGACGATTTGTTTTAACAATTTTGATTCTTTTTGTTGAGCATTTGGTGGTATTTGTTTATTTCTTCGTCCCAGATCCGCCTGTAGGGGGACAGGCCCGACCTAAATCTTGGAGCATCTGGCGACAAAAGAGTGCACGCGCGAGATCGACAAGCACACGGGGAATGGCCGTCCGAGCGATGGCGAGAAGTTGCCACGGTTGCGCATCACCGCTCGGACACTCAAGCTCGGAAGGCCCGAGGCCAATGCTGCATTCGAAGGGGGGGGAGTTCACACCAGATGCTGCGCGTGGGTGTGGCTGACTTGTGTCCAGCGCCTGCTCCCCCCTCCTCCTCCTCCTCCTCCTCCTCCTCCTCCTCCTCCTCCTGCTTCTCCTCCTCCTCCTCCTCCTCCTCCTCCTCCCTCCTCCTCCTCCTCCTCTCCTCCTCCTCCTCCTCCTCCCCTCCTCCTCCTCCTCCTCCTCCTCCTCCTCCTCCTCCTCCTCCTCCTCCTCCTCCTCCCCCCCCCTATTTTGGCACCTGCCCGGAGGAAGAGGGCCGGTTCGCGCAGCCGCAGCGGGGACCCCATCGGTCGCCGTCGCCGCCGCCGCCGTCGCCGCCACCGCCGTCTTCACCGTCGTCGGCCTCGTCGTCTTCACCGTCGTCGGCGTCGTCGTCGGCGGCGGTGGCGGCGTCGTCTTCGTCGTCGTCGTTGTTGTGGTCGTGTTCGTCGTAGCCGTCGTCGTTGTCGTGGTCGTGTTCGTCGTAGCCGTCGTCGTGGTCGCGTTCGTCGTGGCCGTCGTCTTCGCCGTCGTGGTGGTGGCTGTGGTTGTCGTCATCGTTGCTGTCGTCGTCGGCGTCGAGAATCGAAGCCTGTGGGGGGTTTCCAGCGCTCCCTCCAGGGTGCCCAGGGTGCGTCTCGGGGACGGCCAGGAGGGGGCGATGACCCGTGACCACGGGGGGATGCAATGGCCCAGGCCATGATATCTCCCCGGCTTTCATGGCCATCTCTGCTTCTCCCAACGCTTCCCCCATCTTCCGCGCACGTGCCTCGCTAGATCGTAAATGACGGAAGCCTCGTTTTAGTTTGAAGTATACCGACAAATAGCGCCCAACAGCGCTCAATATCGCCAAGTAGCGCCCAGTAGCGCTCAAGTTGTGCCGAGGAGTGCTCACTAGCGCCATGTGAAGGAGATACGTTGTGTCCGCTCTGCGGGCCATCATTTGCGAACCCCCCTCTTGGACGCCCCCGGGCCTCCAGAGGCCTCCAGAGGCACCCCCAAGGAGCCAGGCCTCCCAGGTGGGGTCCGAGTGGATGGGGTCGGAGCATCGCGCCGCATCGCCGATTCATCGTCGATGCGGCTCGATGTGATGCCCGATGTTCTCTACGCCGACGGCGCCGACACATCGCCGACGTCGCCGACGTATCGCTGATGCATCGGCGATGCGGCGCGATCCTCCCACCTCATCTACACCTGTGGTTTTAGACAAGACGCCCATCCATAAGTCCAGCAAGGGATCGACTACAGAATTGATTTACCCCAAACTTGATTTTCCACCGAATCTACGAGAGAGTGCGTAGAACGCTGTCCGGATCAGTCTACGTTGTTTCGTAGACTCGACGAGCACATCAATTTTGGGGGTCGGTCAAGTCTGTAGCCGATCCCCTGCTCGAGCGAGCGTGATATCGGGGCGGGACAGAGCCCCCGACCGAAATTGCAAGGCTCGGGGCCTCGGGTCCGCGAGGAGTGCGAGGCCGTGCCGAGAGGCACATGCCCACTCTCTTGTTCCAGCCACGGCCTGCGCGCGAAAGTGAGCTCTGAGAGATCGGAGGCTCGGGGGGGGGGGGACGGCTCTTCCTTTCCGGACTCTATCTCGGGGGCGACCAAGACGGGGGTGATGAATGGGCTATGATATTTCCCCAGATTTCACGGCGCCTCTTCTTATTTCGTTACGTCCCTGGGCCCCCCCCCCTGGGCCGCGCACATGCCGCTGGCCATGATTTGCGACCCCCCCCCTTGGACGCCCCCGAGAAAAGCAGGCCCACTCTCTTGTGCCGGTCACGGCCTGCGCGCGAGAGCGAGCTCTGAGAGGTAGATCGGGGGCGCCAGGGAGGGTTGACGACTCCTCCTCTCCCGACTCTATCGTGATGACGTTCCAACCTATTTCAGCCTCGATCACCAGAAACAGGATTTCGAGCACCAAGAAAGCACCAACTCTATCGTTGCAGTGGAGGCCCATGCCAAGACACACCCTGCTTGCCTCCAGGGTGCCCTGGGCTTCTTGGGTGTCGATGGTTTTACGATGCAGAGCGCGACGTCCCCGCACCCAAAAAATCAATGGACGTCCTGGGGTCTCAAACTTGGGTTTCTTGTGGAAAGTTTCTTGTGGACTAGTCTACTTTAGCCTCCACCAAAAGAAAAAATAATTTCGAGCACCAAGAAAAGCATCGAGACTGGAGGGTTTGCACGCGTCGGGCCCTGGGAGGCGATACTCGCTCGACGCTTCGCTGGCGTGTCGGGCAGACACTACTTTCTGGGTGCTCGAAGATATTTCTGGGATGTGGTCCTTAAGTCCGATGGGAGCAGCATAACTCTATCCGATGGGCGTTTTGTTTCGGAAATGTCGGTCGGACCCCACTTGGGAGGCCTCCAGACTCAGAGATCCGACGTCTCGATTTTTTCCATACGGGGTCCCCAGAAGCCTCGACCCCTTCCCCTTCCCTGTGGCTTGTTTTCAATCCTGAGTCGTTTTTGTTGACGGCCCTTGGGCCCAGCGAGGGCCCCCAGAGGCCGAGCCTGGAGCCTTGAGACGGGGGTCGATGCAAACTGGGTCAGCCAGAGCGCTGGATCTTGCAGGATCCTGCAGGTCCAGGGGTGCACTGACCAGGACTATCGCGCAGGACAGATCAGGAAACTGCAAAGAAAAGCCTGACTGATCCAGGTTTGCATTGACCCCCGACCGAAAATAGCGAAGAACTGCCGCCCCGATTCTTTCAGTGCGAGGAACCTCTGGGGAGGCCCGGCCACTATACAGAGCAATTCCGTTGCGATGATAGCCCCTTTGACGGGCAGCGGATCGTTCGCTGTCCGCTCCTCTCTCCTCCTCCCAAAACAAATAACATCTCTGGGGGGGAGCTCGGCCTCCAGGAGGCCTCGGCCTCGCGGGATTCTGCTGGGGTGCTCCCCGCCGCCGCCGCCGCCCCTCCCTCCTCCCCCTTCCCCCCCTCCCCCTCCTCCTCCTCCTCCTCCTTCTCCTCCTCCTCCTCCTCCTCCTCCTCCTCCTCCTCCTCCTCCTCCTCCTCCTCCACGCCCAGCGGGCGTGGCCGGGAGGGGCCCCGCGGGGGGGTCCCCGGGGGTTGTCGGCGGATACGAAGGTCGGGGTAGGCCAAGCGGGGGGTGATGACTAGGGGGAGGTGGATATCATGGCGGGGGCCATGACATCTCACCAGATTCATGGCGCCTCTTCTTATTTCGTTACGTCCCTGGGCCCCCCCCCCTGGGCCGCGCACGTGCCGCCAGCCATGATTTGCGCCCCCCCTCTTGGACGCCTCCCTCTTGGCCGTCCCCGAGAAGGCCATACGGAACAGGTCCATGCGGAGTGCTCGGTCTATGATGTTCCAACCTACTTACTTTAGCCTTGATCACTAGAGGTACCGAAGCTTAAGGGTTTTCACGTGTGGGGCCCTGACAACCGATTCAACGAGATCAAACGAGAATGACATTGTTTTGCCTCTGGATTCGGGTCTCTCCAGAACTATTGAAGAGCAGCAGTCAGACGCTATGCAAACTGCTGCCGGGCATGAGGGCAGGGCTCGGTCTCGGTGTCCATCTGGGCTTACTCTAGGCCTCCTAGATGCGGTCGGAGTAGATGGGGTCGGAGGATGGCGCAGCATCGCCGATGCATCGGCGATGCGGCTCGATGTGGGGCCCGATTTTCTCCACGCCGACGTCGCCGATGAGTCGCCGATGTCGGCGATGCATTGCCGATGCATCGCCGATGCATTGGCGATGCGGCGCGATCCTCCGACCCCATCTACTCGAACCCCATTTGGGAGGCCTCTACTTGCTCCGTCTGGACTTGGCCTGCATATGCTTGGCACTGCTCCTTCCAGCCTCCGTGCTGCTGTCCATATTATAGACGTTTTTTCGTTCTCGCGCAGCGACTGGCCCGACGGCGCTCGCTCGCCTGCGGTGGGGTCCATACGGAGTAGGTCCATGCGGAGTGCTCGGCCACCGGCCTCCGTCTGGGCTCGCTCCGTCTGGGCTTGACCTCGCCTTACAGTCGGGGCGATCGAAATGATCTATGGCTGTCAAGGGATCGAGGACAGGATCTGAGCCTCAGTGCCAAATCTGGAGGTCGGCCCCTTGGCACATTGCACCGGCACGACATCGGAAAGGGTCGATTGCAGCATACGAAGTACGAAGAACATATTGTTTTCAACACAGCGCGACTCCTGTTCGCCCATTCTTCCGGGGCGATCGAAATGGTCGAATCGGCGACTCAAAAGAGTGTGGTTCCGCTGGTGTGGTTTGCGATCGGCGCCGTTTGAGCCAGGGGGGCACAACACTGTCCTCGTCGGGCCTCTTCGGGGCGCGGCGGAGAACTCTATCGATTTCCCCGCCCGCCCCCCCAGGGGCCCCCCCAAGGGTGCCGGTTGCAAAACACACCCTTTGCAACCCACACCCTTCGGAGTCGCCGATCGAAGAACAAGAATTCGGTACGACCGAATTGGGTACAGAAGAAATGGGCATGAAGAACGACAGCGTTTCCTGCTCATTTTGAACCGGGTTCGCCGTCCGTGCCGCCGCGAGCAGTGCTCATTTCAGACAGAAGGCCGCCAAACCGCCAGCGGCCGCTGTCGGTTTGGGACGACATTTGTTGTTGGGCATCGCATTTATTTTTTCAAGGCCCATGTCGCGCGCCCCGAAAAAACGGGGGCGGCCAAGAGGGGAGTGGTGACTACGGGAGACCCTGACTCCAGATCCGCCATACTCTGGCTGGCTTTCCGATTGAAGCTGAAAAGGGCGGCAATCTCCGAAAAAGTATGGCTGATACAGCGATGGCAAAGTAGAACGGAAGTCGACATCAAATGAGCTTGAATGGTTGGGCGGACATTGCCGCCTTACTTGCGACATCGCCCAAATTATGGCGGATCTGGAGCCGGGGGGGTGGACATCATGGCCGAGGCCATTCTATCTCCCCAGATTTCATGGCGTTTTTTTTTATTTTATACTTCCCCTGACCCCCCCCTGGGCCTCGCACTCGCCTCGGGCCATGATTTGCGAACCTCCCTCTTGGACGGGCCGGACAGAATTATCCTAAACATAATTTGTCGGATGTCCGCGCGGATTTTTTCGATCGGCGTTGGGCCCCCCTGGCGGCGCCTCTGGCGCCGCCCCTGTCGCTCTCCGCGCGCCAGGCAGGGTGTCCAGCGCCGATCCAAGAACTCCGCGCGGACCTTTGAGAAAATATGTTTATGCCGTGTTTTGCTTTTCTGATGGGTACGAGAAGAAAGGGGACTGAGACCGACAGCAGCTCCAAGTCCACGTCGAGCGGGACTCGCCGTCGGTGCCGCCGCGGGCGCTGTCCATTTGGAACAGAGCTTCGCCCGCCCATCAGCGGCCGCTGTCGGTTTTGGACCACCAGTGCTGTTGGACAACGTGCCCGTTTTTTCCGTCCCCGTGTCGGGCGTGCCCCAGGGATGCTTTTGAGCGAAGTTCTCGGGGAGGATCTAGAAGTCGAGCCTCCGATTTCTGGAGGAGGGAGGCCTCCAGAGGTGCTGGGAGGAGCGCCTCTGGGAGCGGGTTTCTCAGGGATCCGTTGTGGTGGTTGGACTTCTCAGGGAGCATTGGAGGTTCCCTGGTTTTCTGTATTCCAAAAACCAAGCCTGGTTGACTAAAAAACCAAGTTGTTGAGTTCAAGAACCAGTCTCTTGAATTCAAAAGCCAGTCTTTTGAATTCGAAAAACAGTCTTTTGAATAAAAACAATCTTCTGAATTCAAGAGCACAAACTCTTGAATTCAGAAAACCAGTCTTTTGAATGAGAAAGTAGTCTCTTGAATTCCAAAAAAAACAGTCCTTTGAATTCAAGAAACCAGCATCTTGAATTCAAAAAACAAACTTTCGAATTCCAAAAACCAGTTGTTCGAATTCAGCAGCCAATTTCCTGGATTCAGAGAGCCAGTTCCTTGAAATCAAACAAGCAGCCTGGGCGTCGAGCCTCCGGCTCGGGAGGAGGCGGGCGGCCCCCAGAGGGCTCTGGGAGGAAGGCGCCTCCGGGAGCGGAGGCCGAGCCTCCACTGCTCGAGGCGTTCGGCCCCTCGGGGGCGGCCGGGGCGGGCCCTGGGAGGCTCCACGGGCAGGCGGTCGCAAACCCAGAGATGCAACGCATGTAAAAATCAAGACGGAAGTTTTTCTCACCTTTCGGCCTCTAGGGGCCCTCGCCGGGCCCCGGGACCGTCAAAAAACGACTCAGGATGAGAAACCGGTCTTGGGGAGTCGGTCGAGACTTCCAGGGACCCCGTATTGAAAAAAAACACAACATCGGATCTCTGGGAACATGGATTAGCGACGGGTCCCGCTTCCATAGGAAATCGCGGATGTCCACCGCCGAAGGAGGCGGCAGCTGCCGCATCTTGGGGAGGGCACCTCTCCCGATCCATGGATTTGGCGACCGCGCGCCAGATCCATGGATCGCTAATCCACGTTTGCGCGCCCCCGACATGGGTTCCGTTCCGAGTGGGTCTGGGTCGGGGGCGGGACGGCGAGCCTTGGGCGGCACGAAGAGAACGGCGAACACGTATGCCACACTCCCCGGTCGACGCTTCCCCTTTTCCCTCAGTGCTCGAAGCGGGCGGTGGGCCCGATGCGTTCTGCACGTCGGCAGCAGTCTCTTCCGCATGTGCCAGCCTTGAGCCTTGAGTTTGCGGGAGAGGGGGACTGTCCAGGTGGAGGAGGGAAAGCTTCTTAGAAGAAGGCTGATTCTTAGAAGGCGCCGGCCCTACGTCTGTAGACAAGGCCCGCGCCTTCTAAGATGCAGCGGTGCTTCTGAGGAGCCTCCCACCCATGATAAGAAACGCCCTGCTTGCCTCCAGGGTGCCCTGTGTTTGCTGGGTTTCGTTGGTCTTGCGATGGGGAGCGGGACGTTCCCACGCCCAAAATCCATGGACGCCTTGGGCTCTCAGGGTTGGGCTTCTTGTGGAAGGTTTCTTGTGGTCGGGCTCCTACAGTCGGGTCGAGGTATAAGGTCGAGGTCGGTTCGGGGAGCGTGCCCTAATGTTATTCGTGCTGGTTGGATGCTCTTGCGCATCCTGGGGGAGGGCACTCTCGCGAGTGCCCCTCGTTTTGGCCAGCGGAGGGCCTCATGTTCTGGAAGGATGTTCTTCTGTCTTAGGTCCGCCTGTACTGTACCCCCCTCGCCTGCGCGCCGCCAGAGGGGGGGCCGGCCGCCTCTCGGAGTGGTCCGAGGCGCCTCTCGGAGGGGCCCCCTGGTGCCCGGCCCTGGAGGCCTCCTCCGAGAGGAGGGGGGCCTCTCGGTGGGCCCGGGAGGGCTTCCGGGGGACGGGGCGTCCCTGTTGCGGCCCAGCGGCTGCTCGCCGAAGAGGCCTCCTGGGTGCGGGCCCAGTGGTCAGAGATGCTCCAGCCTGCTGCCGCCTCGGCCGCCAGAAAGCATGTCGAGCGCCAAGAACACGCCGACTCTGGAGGGTCTTCACGCGTCGGGCCCGGGGAGGGGATGCTCGTGCGGCACCGTGTCGATACCTCCCTGGGTGCTGGGCATGATTTCTGGGATGTGGTCCTCGAGTACGACGGGAGCAACATGACCCAATGGGGTCTCCCCCGCTCGCCGAGCGTGATGCGGCAGCAGCGTCTTGCGCGTCTGTGTTTGGCCCCCCACGGTCCCCAGAAAGCCGCGCACTCTTGCCCAGGGTCACTCTTGCGTGTAACTAGTCTTGAATCGGGCATGTCCCTCTACAGTGGGAATATTCAGAAAGATTCAAAAGCCAGTCTGGGGACGATGTTCCGATTCTTGTTTGACTAGTTGTTGATATGGTTTTTCTTTTCAGGTCCGCCTGTAGGAGGGCATGCCCGACCTGGGTGTACTCGGGGCCAAGACGCTGCAGTGAGGACCGCATGGGGGCCCCGGAGAGGGGGCCCGTTCCCGTCCGAGGCTCGCCGTGGCCAGAGGAGGCCTCTCGCTCCTGGCCCGGCGTTCCGCACGGCAGGCCGACGGCTGTGCCCCGGCTTGCCCGCCGCGGGCCAGGACGGCAAGAAGGGCGCGGGCAAGAGGTCCCCGAGCAGGAGCAGGAGCAGAAGCGCGAAGAAGGGCGACAGGAAGGGCGCGGGCAAGAAGTCTCCCAGCAGAAGCAGGAGCCGAGCCGACGAGAAGAAGGGCGCAGGCAGGAAGGCGCCCAGCAGAAGCAGAAGCAGAAGCGGAGGCGGGAAGAAGGACGGCAAGAAAAGCGCAGGCAAGAAGTCGCCCAGCAGAAGCAGAAGCCAAAGCGGAGGCGGGAAGAAGGACGTCAAGAAGAGCGCAGGTAAGAAGTCGCCCAGCAGAAGCAGGAGCGGAGCTGGCGGCGGCGGGAAGAAGGACGTCAAAAAGAGCACAGGTAAGAAGTCGCCCAGCAGAAGCAGAAGCAGAAGTAGAGGCGGCGGCGGTGGCGGCAAGCGATACCCTCGAAGTCAATCTGGAGACCTCTCCTGGAGGGCGGTCTGGCCCGGATACGTATCGAGGCGGATCCAGTCGTGTTGATGCGGGGTTTGATCGTAAGACGCAGAGGAGGCGGAGGAGGAGGAGGAGGAGGAGGAGGAGGAGGAGGAGGAGGAAGAGAAGAAGGGGGAGGAACAGGACCTTCCACTCCTCCTCCTCCTCCTCCTCCTCCTCCTCCTCCTCCTCCTCCTCATCATCATCATCATCATCATCATCATCATCATCATCATCATGTCCTCCTCCTCCTCCTCCTCCTCCTCCTCCTCCTCCTCCTCCTCATCATCATCATCATCATCATCATCATCGTCTCCCCCTCCTCATTATCCGTCTTCTCCTCCTCCTCATCCTCCTCCTCCCTCCCTCCTTGTCCCTCCTCCGAAATGCTTTCGGGGTATGATTGATTCGGTGCGCGTTCGGGACGTCCCTGGGCTCGTCAGAGGCCTCCACGAATGGCTCTTGTAGAGGGCGCGGCCGATGGAGGCCGCCCCGGGGCCCGAAAACTCTTGAGCGCGCCGAAAGCGATGCCGAGGCGGAGGACCAGACTCTAGACGCTTCGCGTATCCCCACCAGTCCGTAGCCTCTGGTTCAAGCCGTCTCTTGGGGGTGTTCCTCCCCCTGGGGTCAGGGCTCGAGGGGGCGCCCAGACGGTGCGCGCGGGCGGGCCGCGCCTCCTTGGCGCGCGGGCGGGCCGCGCCACCCTGGGTGCCATACTCGCCCGAGCCGCCCGCCTGGCGTCTCATCCGCATCCTTTCCGTCCCCGCTTTAGACGACCTGGGGGCGGAGGGTGAGACAGACGGATCGCGTGCCAGCGCCCTGGGAACCGATGTCGTGGACGAGTGTGATGGGTTTGTGTGAGGCTTGGAAACCCTTGCGCTGCCCGCGGGCAAACGGAATCTCGGACCTTTCGGGAACGCACGCGATCGCTCGGGAGCGAACCCAGGCGACGGGCACGCCTCGGCAGTCAGCGCTCGTCTCATTGCGGAGGATCGGGCAGTCGATCGTGCTGATCGTGACCACCCTGGGGAAGCGGCGGATCTGCCGTCACAAACACGAGACGACGGGGGCCGCGACCATCCAGATGGAATGGTCGAGAGCCGCGTACCAGGAGGCAATGGCTCCCTCCGTCTCCCCCGCCCCTTTTCTATGCATTTGGGGCGATCAGCCGCCAGCCTGGAGAAGACCGTTTACCCGATCCAGTTGCGACGACCAGTCGCGCAGCCAGCAACGAGTCCTCCCGCTCCTCCGCCATCGCGGCCGTCAGACGCCTGCCTGGGGAGGAGCCGGGGGGGCGCGCCACGCCAAGCCAATGCATTTGCGACGATCAGTCGCACGCCTGGGGAAGATAACGATACGAATGGTGCACCTGCTCTGCCCTGTCGCGTCGACGGGGAGGCACCTAACGACGACATCACCTCCGCCGCCCCACTCGATCCTGCCCAGGCCCGGGGAACGCGTAGCGGCGCAGAGACACGCTGCAACAGTGATCACGACTGCGCGTCCCCGACCGACCATGGCCCCCGCAACCCTGCACACAGGATCGCGACCCCTGGGGGCCGTGTCGCGGCTCGGGACACGTTGCGCGACATAGCCACGCAGGGGCTTGCCCAAAGACGCGCCCCTGAACTTCTGATCTGATGCCCTCCGACACCGAACATGTGCGGGCTGCCGCCGCGCCCGTCGGCGGACACAGTGGCGATGAGGAGGGCCCGGGGCGGGGGTCGGTAGACGGGTCGCGGGGCCGAATGCCAGAAGGACCTCCCGCCCCCGAGGTCAGCGATCGGTCACGAGGAGACGCCCAGTCGCAGGGGGATAGCCGCCCTGTCCCCGACCTAAGGGGGCGGCGGAGCGGGAATGGATCGGCTCGCCCCCGGTAGAGCAGATCCGCGTCGCGACCGAATCGAGATCAGGGCGACCGCCCAGCCCGCCCGCCCCCCCCCCCCCCGGGATAGCCGCGAAGCCCCTCTTTCAAGCCGCCTTCCTGGGGAAGAGCCGATGAACGCTCCACGTCACGACAGTGCATTTGCGGCGATCAGTCGCACGCCTGCTGAGGTAGATGAGGAAATGGACGGCGGGCGCGCTTCCCTTCGCCCGCGGCGCACCTGGGAAATCCGCTCCCCTCGACACTTTCCAAGCCTGGGGAAGATGCAGCGGCGCTGCGGCGCAAGGCGACGACGACGAAGACCGCGCCTCGACGACTGACTACGACGCCTACGCTGCCCCCGCGCCGACGTTCCCCGCCGACCCCCGCGCCCCCCCATTCAGGATCTTCTCGTCGCCTGGGGGCCGAGCCGGGGCGGGGGGCGCGCGGCGCGACAGGGCAGTCCCAGACGACGCCCGACGACGCCTTTCCGAGCCGGGGTCGCCCCCAGACGTCCGACGACCAAGGATGGGCAGTCGCCGCGCCCGACGGCGGGCACAGCGATGGCGAAGACGACGCGGGGTAGGGAACATAAGCATCAAGCAGCGGCGAAGCGTCCTGGCGCGCTTAAAGGCTTACCAAGCAATGTTCTAAGAACCTTTTGCGGTTTCCACGACGTGTTCTTAAACCATATCTGGTTGGGGCTGTCTTGTTTTAACACATCGGCTTATGTTCTAAGAACCTTGGTTTGTTCTGAGAACATTTTAGGGTTCTAAGAGCATTTCGTGGTAGGCCTACAGGAATGCCGGGTCGGTCGGTCCCTGCTCATAAGCAGGGGCTTGGGGCCGACCGCCAGACGGGCCCACCCCGCGCTTCCCCCCCCATCACCGCGGGGCGCCAGAGAAACGCCCAGGCGCAAGGGGGCGCCCGCTCCGCCTCCGACGCGAGAGGGCGGCAGCGCAGGAACGGGTCGGCCCGTCCGCGGTCGGCCAGATCGGCATCGCGCACGAGTTGGGATCGGGGCTCCCTCTCGGCCCACCCGCGCCCTCCTCTCCTTCTCCGTTCCAGCCCCCTCCGCTTCGCCGCTCGGTTCGACGCGCGGCGCAGCGGCGCGCCCGGCAGCGCGCCGCCAGCCCCCCGCTCTCACATTCCCATCGGCCCAAGATGCGGCCCGACCAGCTGGCTCCGCCGTGGCCCGCGCGGCGGGCCCACGATCGAGGGCCGCGCGGAGGGGGCGCCGGCGCCGCGCGGGCCCTGGGCGAACGACGCGGGACCACAGCCGCGCACCCACGAAGCCACCCTGCGACTCCAGCTGATGATGCACTTCGCCGGAAAGCGGCACCCCGAAGGCCGCGCTGGATTGCGACAGGTCAGCACCCCAATAACGCCCCGTCCTCCTGCGCCACGCCTGCCTCGCCGGGCTGACCCTCCCGAGCCCTGCGCCAACGTCTTCGCGCCAATGGACCTTGCTGGACTGGCATGGTCGGCGATTGAGGGGGACAGCGAGGGCAGACAGGGCGGGGTAAGACCGCATCCAGCACAGTTACTCGCCATGGTTTTCGCCGAGCTGATAGATATGCGCGAGGACGGCGAAGCCCCTCCACTGGGCCGCGACGCTCCCAGTCCCGCCGAAAAGCGGCAGTCTGCAGAGAATTCCATTTCGTGCGGGAGGCATCCCTCCATTGCGGCACGGGCGGTCGTCACAGGAACAACCCGCGAGGCCGTTCTTCGGACGCCGAAGGCCCCCTGGGCCCATTTCTTGTTCAAGCAAGCCCCGATGCTTACCGCGGCTCCTTCCTGCTATCGCACAGGGCGCGGGGCCTCCTCATCTTCGTCCACGAGCGCAGGCACTCGGTCATTCAGTGGCCCAGGGATGAAGACCTTCTGCATTGGGCAAGGCATTGCCGCGCACTCGACGGCCCCCCCGACGCCGTCAATGACCGCCCCATGCATCGCCCTGTCACCTCCGACCTTGTGGGAGCAGTGCAGCAGCCGAGATGGATGACTGCAGAGGGCTCCGCCCCCGCCCCCGGGGTCGCCCCCGTGCGGACGGGCGAGCAGGCCAACCCAGACAATGTTTGAACATGCTTGGCCTTGGGGCGACGTCGCGGCATGCCCCGACCTGGGGCGCAGGTTCAAACCCAGCGCCAGATATGACTTCTTCGGGTCGTGGCTCCTTCTGGAGCCGCGGGCAGGGCAATGCCCTGTGCGTGCCCACCTGGCAGCCCCATGGCAGACTGACGGGCGCCCCCCCATCAACCCGCCTGCGCTCCCTGTCGATCTCCTGGGGAACGAAGTGCTGACTTGCCTCGCGCACGCAACGCAGAGATTTGCCCCCGTCACGTGCCACTTCTACGACAGCGTCGAACGCGTGGTAGACTACTCTACGACCTGGTTTGTCTGTGAACTTCTCGGTGCTTGGGCCGTGCTCAGTGAAAGGCCCGGCATTTTCACGCACTCCGACCCTGCTGAGCCGCATGTGGCGCGCGCCATTGAGACGATGGCCCAGCTACGCGCTCCCCCCGTAGCGCGGGCGGGTCGCATCTGCGAGACGCTACGCGCGGAAATCCGCGCGGCCAACGCCGGAGGTGCCCTCGCCAGGTGGCCGCCGCCAGCCATCGTGGCCGTTCAGGGCACTTCGCCGATTAGCCCCCCTGTTCAAGGGCCCTCCCTCCCGGGGCCCGCGCCGCCAGGGCCGCGGGACCGCGGCGCCGACGATGTCGTCGCGCGGCTCCTCGACTTAGGGCTTGTAGCAGGCGAAGCTGCGTGGCCCCGACACAACGTCGGCACGCGCGCCACACGGGCCGCCCCCGCAAACTATACGCCGACAGACACGAAGTGGACCGAGGCATGACCACGGACGAGAACGAATCGGCCCGACGGGCGCTCCTTGGGCTTGCCGCCACGGCTGACGACGACGGTCTACTGCTGACCACCGGGCTCACCAGGGACGACGCAGTAGGCGGCGTCGCGGAGCGCGCAATCATTAGACAGCTGCGCAGGGATAGGGCACAGCAACCATGCGACGAAGCAATGGCAGAGGCTGGCAACCCCGACCCTAATGCCGAACAGCACGTCGG